GCATTTGCTGTCAAAATAAAAGATGCGCACCAGATAAGAAGTTGGAACGCGCATTTGCGTACATAAGATGTTCTGTAGAAGAACAGACATTTGTTCAGAACTTTTAAAGATGGCAAAGAAGCAAGCTCCGTATGCAATTACTTTGGTGTTCCTCCACCGCAAAAGAAGCGTGTATTCCCGGAAATTCCGAGAATACACGCAATATGTGTATACCTGTTTATAGACATGTTTTGGTCTAGTGGTGTTACTTGGATTCCAGATTTGAACGAACAGGGACTTTCACACTTCAGGACCAGATCAATCTCTTCCAGGGATTCATTTATAACGTTTGCCTTCAACATCTGCTAATTCAGCTAAATGCTCTGACATCTACTTCCCAGTGAGCTGTACTAGCTTAACTGTTTGAGCTAACTTTAGTCTACTGTTTGTTGCTCCGGCCACCTCGGCTCTTTTTCCTCCACATCTTCTAAGATGTGGGCCAATATGTTCTTGAGCTGGTCGGCACTATTTTGGATTCTCCTAAAGCTCACGCCTGGATTGCTCCGCTATACAAGCGCTGAGCTACTGCACCTTCGCAGCTAGCTGTCGCTCCCATCCACCCCGGACATCACTTTCCAGCCTCGCCGGAGATACATCTATCGTGGGTCCCGCAGGATTTTCCACAGCTCCAGTGGAATAAAATCGTTTTGGTCTGCTACTCTCCTCCCTCGCAGGAATCCTTATCGTGTTGTCAACCACCGGTCTCTAGTCCACCCGACCAGGCCGCCCACCGCAATTAGCAAAAAAGAAAATACTCCACTCAACTTTGGCCTTTTAAACATCTGTTCACTGACAAATAAGGGACCTCTCATCCAAAGCCTCCTATCTGACTGTTACATTGACTTTTTCTGTTTAACTGAAACTTGGCAACAACCCGATGACTTTTCTTAACTGGATAAATCTACTTCTTTTGGGTTTATTTACTTTTCGGAACTTCGCTGCTCAGATCGAAGGGATGGTCTCACAAACATTTTTCAACAGCACTTGAGTCCTGCCACTCAATGTTGATACCTTTAGTTCCCTAGAATGCCTTGCATGTGAGCTGACTGACACCATCATAGCTACTGTAAACAACCCCCTGTATCCCCCCCCCAAACAGCTTAACTCAGTCTTCTTCAGGGATTTTGCTAATTTACTAACCCACCTTTCATCTCTCTCCCCAAATGTTGAGAGATTTCAACATTCATATTCAAATCTTTCCGTTGCTGAAATCCCCATAACTGACCATTTCCTCCTTTCATTTAACCTCACTCTTTGCTTTTTTACTAAGCCAACCCATATCATCTTGTTCCACAACATCAAGAACACTGATGTAGACATCCTCACTAACAGATTGAATTATGTTCAGATTCCAGACTTCTATTCTACTATGATAATTTGTTGTTATATCAATATAATATAAGATAAGATACCATTATTAGTCCCACGAATGGGAAATTTCATGTTAAGGCTGCCAACCTATTGCACGGTAGGACATGGGAGCGCAATGTTGTGGCAATACTGGTTGGCACAACTGGTTCAGTGAGTTTCAAACCTTCAGTTAAATATCTTCACAGATCAGCAAACAAATGTTTCGTATATTTTTCTTGTCTTTTAGAGCACTGCACCACAGATGAACTTTTATTTCTTTTTATAAACCAATAGCAATAATTTAGAGTCAGACAACATGATGAAATTTCAAAATAAGAAATATT